TGGTGCTGGCCGCTGCTGAGCTTGACGCCATTGGAGAAAAGGAGTGGATGGTGGAACAAGGAGCGCCGCTGCAACGTTCCAGGACGCGACGAAAGTACGAAAGAAGAGTACGAAAGGCGCTTGCGAAAGAGAAGCGTGAGCTGCGGGCCGTGCTGGCGAAGAAAACGTACCCTGAGCAGGCGTACTTTGCGCTCGTTGAGTGGTACAAGAGCGAGGCAGGCACAAGGCGGCTCCTGAGCAGAGGTCGCAAATGGTTAGCCGTACCTGTTCAAGTAATGTCTAACCGTAACCACGGACGGGTATGGTTAGCCGAAAGTTTGCCTCTCTGAAAAACGGATGGGTACGGGTAACCGACTTCCAGGTTCGGTTGGTTATGGTAGGCCGAGCATATCCAGAGGATGATAATTCGAAGTGTTTTGTTGCATGCTTTACTTTATTAAGAATTTTGGCGACAGCTCGCGCCTTTAACCGAGAGAAGGTAGCTTATTTTCAGCAGATATATTAAATAGGACAATGGTATATCACTTTTTTTCATTTTTTTTACATAAATTACAAGTAATTTTCGGTTAGCCGATCGCTAATTTCGGCCTGCCACGGATGTCCGAACGGTCCATACGGTTGGCCATGCTCATCCGAAACTCGATGACCGGGGCTTTCGGACGGGTATGGTTAGCCGGAAATTTACGTATGCGACCTCTGCTCCTGAGCCATGAAGAAGCGGACGCGATTGGGTACGCGCTTCCGCGCGCGACCGAGGAGCTGTTGAATCGGAAGAGAGCGGACAAACGAGCGTCGAAGACATGCGAGTACCGCAGTGGTAGTGTCTACGCGTACACGAGTGTGAGGATACTGGACGATGGACAGCGAGATATGAGAGTCGGGCAGCTCAGGGCCGTACAGGCCCTGACAGCTGACTCACTGCCCACGGCGCGAGTTGAAGTGCGAGGAGAGCGACGTCACGTTAAACCGGATACGGGCGCCCAGTACAGTGTTGCCGGGGAAGCGTGGATAACGTTGGGCGTGCGACTGAATTTGCTGCCACCGGTGGATTATGTAGAGGGCTTCACCGGTGTAGTGACGAAGGTACTTGGGGTGTGGCGTTTTCGACTTCGTACACAATACGAGTAGCTTAATGAAGTTGACGCACTGATTGTGGAAGGCGTCACCGCCGAGTTTCTACTGGGGGATGATTGGATGTTGCGAAACGGGGTCAAGATCGACTTCACAGCGAGTGAGATGAAGTGGCCCTGCAACGATGAGAAGCGGATCATGCCGCTTAGCTGCAGTCATGACGGTCAAAAAGACGGGGACGCAGCGAGAGTTAGAATCGTGAAAGCTGCGAAGGTCACGACGAACACATGCTGACGAGTGGAGCTGGCAGTGGCAGCGACAGAATGCACGGTGGGCTTCTTTGTGCCTGTCCGACGCGTAGAGCCACACCTGTTGCTAGCTCATACTCTGACTACGTTTCGGAGCGGCTGAGTAGCAGTCTCGGTGGTGAATCTGGTAGACAGCAGAGTAAGGTTGATGGCATGAGAGCTGTTAGGAGCGTGGGCATCAACCACAGACGACATGTAGGTACTCGAGATGACAGGATCCTTGACCCGTGATCTTGTGAAGCTATGGTTGCGATACCTTGGCGTGAACAAGGGGCCGCTGAATAACGAAGACGAGTTGAACATAGGTAACATGTGGGATATGGACAAGGAGTTGTTATTGACGCTGTTACGACTGTACCCGACACTACTAGAGCCACGAGAAGGTTGCCCGCCGATTACGACGCAGGCAGTGCAGCACGAGATCCACACAGGGAACGAGGCGCCGGTCAAAGTGCGACCTCGGCGGCACGCTCACGAGGAGCATCCGGTCATCGACGACAATGTTAACTCGATGCTGAGGGATGGGGTGGTCACGGGAAGGTCAGGGTTCCCCGTCGTGCTCGCGAAAAAGAAAGACGGTTATGTATCGACTACAGACTACTGAGCGCTATAACGAAGAAGGACGTGTACCCTCTTCCGAGTATTGACGACACACTCGACAACTTACACAGTGCTAGGTGGTACACCAACTCGGACCTACGCTATGGGTACTGGCAAGTGCCCGTAGCAGAGCAGGACCGAGACAAGACAGGCTTCGTCTCTAGAAAAAGACTCTTCCGCTTTGTGCGCGTGCCGTTTGGTTTGGCCAATGCGTTAGGTACTTTTCAACGGATGATGGGCGCGGGCTCACGTGGCAGTCGTGTCTAGTCTATCTAGACGATATGATTGTGTTTACCAAGGGCGGTGGCGCAAGACACGTCGTGGAGCTAGCCACGGTCCTCGAGAGTGTCACAAGAAGGGCTCTCGCTGAAGGCGACGAAGCGCACGTTCGCAGCTGAGAGGATGGAGTGCCTGGGTCACGAGCTAGACGCTGACGGGGTGAGGCCGATGGAGAGCCTCGTAGACAGCGTGAAGGACTTTTCGGTCCCGAATGACACGACGGAAGTGAAGCGGATGTCCATATGGCGGGCTACTACAGGAGCTTTGTACCAGAATTCGCGTGCCGGCAGTGCCGCACCATACGGCCAAGTTTAGCATGGAAGAGTTAGTGTTCGTGCACGGGCCCATGCGGGAAATTGCAATGGACGGAGCACTCGAGCTGAACGACCTGGTGAAGACGCTGCAGGCGCGGCAGCTGACACCTGTACCGTACCGACCGGTCTTACTTGGACTGGTCGAGCGTTTCCACAGAGCCTGGAAGAATATGATTGCGATCGACGTAGCGGAGACGCAAGACGACTGGGATCGGTGGTTTCCTTGTGCAGCGCATGCATACAATGGGGCATGGTACTCAGGTGCGTGGATCAGCCCTACTGAGCTGATGATGGGGCGTCACCTGAGAACGCCGAATGAGCTGTTAAGGACCAGTGGGGTCACGCAGACGGGGCTCTTCGCGAGGTACCACCGACAACTGATAAGCAACATGGAGAAGGCGACGAAAGCGGCTCGTGATTCGATATCAAAGGATCAACTATGGCGTGAGCGATACTACAACAAACGCAGTCGGTAGGTCACTGTGATAGAGGTAGGCGATTTAGTGTGGGTACTGAAGCCACAGCGGGGTTAAGGTATCACGAAGCTGCCACATCGGTGGGTCGGACCAGATAAGATCGCGCAGAGCGCATGATTCGACAATTGGAAGCTTGTCCGCGAGGACAACGGCGAACAGATGATTGTGCATTGCAGCCTTTTAGTGTCGAGCTGATGGCCGAGCGACTCGCTAGGGCGGTAGCGGACCGTATTGTGGCCGAGCGCGCTGGGGGGGGGTTGGCGAGACGGACGATCAGAACAGCGATACGGCAGCTTCACGGGGACTGGGCCAGTAGCAGACGCAGTCGACGGAGAAGGAGAAACGGGACCAAGCCGAGCAGGAATAGCAGCGCCAGATGAGCACGCCGAGGAGGCGCCCAGGGCAATTGAAGCCGTGGTGCCGCAACAATCAGCTCGCAAAGAGAAACGCGGGCGACAACTGCAACAGGGCGTGTGCATCGGCACTGGCAACGGGCAACCACAGCAACAGGGATGTGGCGTAGTGAGATCAGCAAGATCTGCGAGATTGCTGGTGTCGGCTTACCAACCGCGCCCAGACACCGACTAGCGGAGGGGGTTCCCCGATGATCCGTGCTCTGCTGAACTTTCCTCACCTTGTGTACCCGTCGGTGGGGCGGGATTTTGCTCTCTCCGTAACTTCCGAATAGTTCAAGTGGTGAAGCTTGAGTGTCTTGGCGAGACGTGGGGATGGGGTGGAGCAGCAGTGGTAAAATCTTTACTCTGCGTCCGTGGTTGGTTCTGGATCCTAAGCGAATATTCGAGCTTAAGTGGATCCAGGGCCTATATCGTGGATCTGGCCGAAGGGTTGCCTTGCGGGTGTGCTCCCTTACCTTTGCGTTTCCTTTGCGTCGTACTTGCCGCCTCCTGTGACGCGATCTTGAGAGTTGAGATCTTCTTAGGTATATCCGGCCAAGTAGTATATCCGGTTAGCCCTGTAGATCTGCACGTGTAAAGGAAAGCTCACTAGGTTGTAGGATCTGGCCAATGTATTATCCAGTTATCGCTACCAGCACTAAATTCGCAATTTCCAAGCTTCTCTGAGCTCATACAGCCAATGTAGTTCCGTTTCTTGAGGGAAGGAGGGCACTTGCGTGTTACTGTGCAAATTGAAGTCTGTATTGATACTTAAGCCTATACCTGTCTGGATTTTTACCTTCTATGTTTTTACCTGTTAAATCCCTTACCAGGCTCGGCTGCATGTCCTTTCTTTCCTTAACCCATCATCCCAGCTGTATTACCATCAGATCCACCGGATCCATGGCGTAATTATTATGGTCGCCATATTATGGGTACATTCAATCCGGATCCAGGTCGCTTTGACCCACCTCACCGCAAGTGTACACTCATCATTGATCTGAGCTCTTCAATCCTCCAACATCGTCTTGCGACCGTCTGTGAACTCCATCGTCCCACGAAAGCTCGAGATCCACTGGATCCACGGTCCCTATATCCTGGATCCAGGCCACTCTGTGCGGGATCCTCACCTCCTTGGATCCGAACTCGGAAGTATGGGATCTGGGGCATATCGCGGTGGATCTTGCCTTCTCGTTAGTCGTTGATACTAGATCCACCTTCAGATGACACCTACCATCGTTCCGTCATAGGATCCACACTCGATCCACCCGTACATAGTATATCCCATATCCCCCCAAGTGAACTCCGGTGAGGGTGGATCCGAGTCTTTCCTTGGTTGATCCTGCCTTCCCATACGTCACCCATACCAGATCCATCGTCGGCTCATACGGGATGCCGCTCATCATGACCAATCCACACCAGGCAACGTGAATCCCTGCCTGGCGATCCAAATCCTCTCTAATCACTTGAAACTGTCACTGATTCGGGATAGTGACCTCTTGCTAGGTCCATATTCTTATTTTTGAGATAGCACTTCACCACAGGGACATAGTGGCGATGACGATCAAGGAGGACGAGCAGCGAAGCAGCAGGCTCTGCGTGACAAGCCGACGCCCGCAGCCCGAGATGCACTGGATACAGACGCAGCTGGTGGGTTACGCGGGGGTAGCGAAGCCGCCGTATGCGAAAGGAGCCCTGGTGGAGAAGAGCAGCAGCGACGACGGCGCGTCGACGACGAGTGCCAAGGCACAGAAGGAGGAGAGCGACAAAGAAGCGGCACGAGTGACAACGACGAGGTCTGGGCCACGATGGGTGCCGGCGCGAGTGAAGCAGCCGCGGAGGTCGGGATGCTACAAGGCAGGGGGCGGCCGAGGCGGCTCCTGCAAGTGGCGACGGCTGGCTACGCTGTTGAGCGAGCAAGACGAAGAATACTGAATCGGGCGGGGAGCTACACGCTCGAGCATCAGGTTGAGCGTGGCACGCAACCGGGACGCCCCCGTGGACAGAAATAACTGTCGAAGGAAAGTGTTCGAGGAGCCGGACGACGCCGGCAAGGTCGAGGACGATCTTAAAGCCGGGGATGGGGTGGCCTACGACAGGGACTTGACGAACTCGAGCGGGCGGTCGGTCGAGGTGATCGACCTGATGGCCGAGGATGGCGTGGACGACCCGGCGAGCTCGGTGACGTGTAAGTGTTGTAGATGCAGTGCGGTGGCGGGAGCGAGCCAGAAGGCTGGCTCCACCGAGGACGGGAGGTAGCAGCTGAGGTTGAGTGACGTTCAAAGATTGCAAGGGAGGCGGACGTGCGCGACAAGCGAGCGAGGAGAGAAGACAAACAGGCGAGGCGACATCAGTAAGGTAGAAAAAGGCGCTTTCAGTAGAAGTAGGTAGGCAACGGTGGGCTTCGTAGGGAGGACACGGATCGTGCGGCTGGTCGCTCGACCCTTAGTTGAGGTTGTTCCCGATTGGTGAGAAAGTAAGCCTAATAAAGGAGAGTGGCGCCAAAGCACGGGTTTCTAAGGGCATAAGAAGGTGAGGCAGGGTAGTGCAATAAAGTCGAGGGCGGAAGAGCCAGTAGGGTGGCGAGGACCATGGAGATAGACCATGGGCGTCGTAGCTGTCGACCGAGGAAGCGAGCTCGAATACGGATGGTAGCTGTCTGGAAGACTCTCCGTACTGCCTCCAATTACTATCTGGGGGCTTCACGCCACCTAGGTGTTGACGCTGCCAAAATCCTGTCTAAGGGTGCCAGCTGCCCTGGACGAGAAAGAAGATTAGTCCTCACGTGGGACATAACTACACCATTACAAAAAAAGATGAGCTGCTCGTCTTTTTTGTGAATTTACCATTAATTCACACTTTGAGTCGGGCGAGTTACAGTCCTAATGCATTAAGTCGCGCGAGTTTTAGTGAATCAGATCCCTATATACTTTTAATCGCGCGAGTTATGGTGAATTGGCTCTTAATGCACTATAAGTCGCGTGAGTTATAGTGAATCGGCTAAGGGAGAAGAGGCAAAAATAATGTATGGCAATTACTTTTATTAGTAGTGAATGTGAGCGTAGGATTCGTATCTCCGTAGTAAATTTTAAAAGGATTCTAGCCAAATTTCACAAGCATAATTACCACACAGTACGTTCAGCTCGTGCAATGCAGAGGTATCGTTCACTTACATGAGAGTTCTTGTTGCTCGATCATTCTCGTGCGAGCTGTTCAGCAAACTCACTAATGCATGTACCGTACGGATATGACTTATTTCTTGCACACACGAACTGTACATTTTGAGTTTGTTTGCCGCACGGGCGCTCCGCAACGGGCGCTCCTTTTTATATCGGAAATGCTACAGTCCATGCGTCAAATCCGCTTATTTTCCATGTAATACTCCATGTAATGTCCATGATGTAAAATATTTTCATTCGGTAATTTATAAAAACAACCCAGTCGTTGAGTGCAATTATTGTCCAACTCTCATCCGTGTATTGTCCACGATGTGATCTATGTAGTTAATACCGGTACAATACTGTATACCGGTAGTTGTACCAATCACACCAGCCTTTCATTTGCTTTTCAACCCCAAACTCGCCCCCCTTCGAGCATTGCCGCCGCCGCCGCTCCGTTACCTGCACGCCGCAGCCTACGTCACGAGATCAACCGTTGCTGCAATCGCCGGCCATGTCGCTCAGTCTACCCGCTTCCGCGACGTCTGAGGTGCGTTATCTTGCTGTTTGTGGTCTCTGTGAACGTGTTTCTAACCGTGCGTTATCTATTTGTAAATACAGGGTGGATCGTCCGACTCCTCTTCAGATATCGACACCACGGCTTCCGCAGCCTCCGGCGCGGCTGCAAACTCGGACGACGCCTCGCCCGACACGGACGAATTCAAGCGTCCATGTATTGTCCAGGTCGTAGACTCTTTCTCCTTTGTGGAGGGCCCCGCAGACGTGACGTATCCGAGCTGGTCGGCGTGGAATGAGTATTGGAAGGCTTACTCGGTAAAGTCCCGCCAGGTCATCCGCATCCAGTCAACGCTTAGTTGCGTATTGAGAAACAAGCGGCTGGGTCAAACAGCGGCAGCAAAGCAGGGAATGGATGTTCCGTACGTACCAGAGACGTGGGGTGCTTACCAACGCACATACATCTGCACACATGGCTGGCCAGCAAAAGACAGGAGCAGCGGATTGCGAACCAAGCACTTCGTCCGAGGATGCGGTTGTCCATTTCGATTTGTGGTGCAGCTCGTGCAAGTTGACGGCTTATGCTGCCTTCGCGTGAAGAACGGTGTGTACCAGCACAACCATGCGGTGGGGACAGCGCAGTTCAAGACGTACGCGGAGAACCGTAGGTTGGACGACACGGACACGAAGGATGCTGTGGACAGCATGGTGATGTACGGTAGAAAGCGCGCACTCATCTATGAGTATCTTCTGGGGAGAGGCGAGAACCTCGTCAAGAAGGATGTGGACAACATTGTGCAACGTGTTAAAGCAGAGATAAGAGGAGGGTTGAATGACGACGACGCTTGCGCCGCAACTCTCGCGGAATTCGCAGCTATTGACGGTAACGTAGTCACGGTGGACGAAACTGATGCGGGACACTCTGGTGTGATCAGTATGACTTCCAGACATATGCGCGACATGGTTACTAGGTTTCCAGAGCGTTTGCTTGTGGGCTGTACTTACAAAACGAATCGGTAAGTCTTCCCATGTATTGTGCAATTATTTGTCCATGTACTGTCCATGCTTATTTTAATGTCATGCCCATGTATTGTGCGATTCTTGTCCATGTAATGTGCATTAGATACAACTACCAGCTTTGTACCTTCATGATGATAGACGACAATGGGCGTGGGCAGCCTGTACAACAGTCTTTGCTCGAACGAAACGCCGATTGGCAGATGTCCCGAGCGCTGGATCATCTATTTCGGATTGACGATAAGATTGGCGACAAGGTTCAAGTTATAATGGTCGACAAAGATCTGAATGAGATCCGCGTGTTGCGTCGGTACTTCCCTAAGTCGCGCGTGTTGATTTGCGTCTTTCACGTCATCAAATATCTCCGCACAGCGTCCAGGAAGTCAGAATATGGTAAACTTTCGTCGGACGATCACGACGCCATCGACGCATTAGTCCACAACATGGTATATGCCTTAAGTTCAGAGATCTACGAGACCAATTGGACCTCCATGAAGGCACTTTGCACTAGGACTGGATATATGGCATTTTACAACTACATGGATGAAAACTGGAACACTTGTACGGAGATGTGGGTCATGTACCAACGCTCACGGTTGGCACATTTGCGCGTCCACACGAACAACCATTTAGAGAATTGGTTTGGGCATTTTAAGGACGGGGTAAACTCCAACATGACCATGACGGACACCGCGAAGGCCCTTGTGGGTGCTGATGCCAGGACTTCCAGTGAATACGTGTTCGACAAGACTAGGATCGGGTTACGTGTCAACCGCAACTACGACGAGGAGATGTGCCAAGTTTTGCGCTTTACGACGCATTTCGTAGCAACACACGTGGAGAAGGAGTACGTAATGGCATGTTCGAAGGTCGACAAGTTCAATTTCGACTTAAAGTCAAACACAGGCTTCGTGGAGGTGACGGGTAAACACAAGACGCATGCTGTGGATTTGAAAACGTGGAGCTGCACTTGCTCGTTTGCTTCTGCAATTCGTCTGCCTTGTCAACACGCGATCGCGTTTCGGAAGTGGAGTAACGCCCCAGGAAGCGTAATACCGCTGAGTTGCATCGATGAAAGGTGGGTTAACTCACAATTTATCCACGTATAAGCCGTGAGTTGTCCATGTAATATCCAGTATTGATGTTGTACTGAGGGTCTGACATGTCATTCATTTAGATGGTTACATCCTGCTGAACAACCGATGACTCCGCGGCCTTTTGTGCTTAATGAGTTTAAACCAGGGGAGGCGAAACACAAGGTGCTTGACGCTAATGTTAAGTACAAGGAGGCAGTCAGCGCGTTCCAGGCTATATGCAGTGAGCTAGCCGATATCTCTGATGACGACGAGTACCGTGAGCATTTAGACTTCGTCGTGCAACAATGGAGGAACATTAGGCAGCGCAAACGTGTAAAGGTTGAAAAAACGAAGGTTCCAGTCACGAGAGAAGAAACAGAAACAGATGAAGTGACCTCTCCAGTGACAACCAGCCGAAATCGAACCGGAACCAAGCCCGAAATGGAGCGGCTTGCGCTTGAGACCACTCCTGATGACAACGAAGAGAAAAATACTGATAGTGGATTGCGCATCCGTCTGAACCCCAAAGCTGCGAAGTCTGGTAGGCCCCGGTTGAACAGAAAGGAGAGAGAAGCAGACGACAAGAAGAAACGAGCGTTGTTTAACGAGTCAGAAGCCCATAGAAGATGTCTTGGAGAGGTGACATTAATACAACTTGCGCGCAGTCTTCAACTTGAGAAGCCTCCACTTCAAGACACTCTACGTCGTGTTCTGCCACTCCAAACCAAGTACAACAACGCGGGTAGCAAGAAACCCAAGTACACTAGAGAGAGTGCGCCTGTGCTGAATGAAAACGCGTTCTACCTACTTCCACCCAAACTGTTGGACAAGTGCGTTGCGGTGCTGCCTGTGAGCAACACCAATGAAACAGCTATCGATGTACTCACCCAGAGTCAAACTACACAAAAAGACGAAGAAACATCTACAATACCTGGACAAATCATGGACAGCAACGGACAAAACCCGGAGATCGAGTGTGTCTACATCGCGGGTATCGGAACATTTTCACGCGAACAGATTGAGGCCATGGTATACTTAGCAAACGTGAAGCGTTCGTGTGATGATGGAATGGCGTTTACCAAATGGTTAACACAGGATGCAGCCAGCGCCATACCAGCAGCACAACAATCGACACTTCAGAGCATGGCAGAGGCCATTGCTCGCGCCTATCCCCAAGATACCATCCCAATTGACGGCAACGATTACCACTACGCGATGCTGTACCGTCTCAAGCCGCCCCAATGGGCTAATGATGCGCTGATTTTGGCTTTTTGCGCGAGATTGTACAGGACGGGCACCGGCGTTCGCATCGTCGGTGTCGAGGCAGCCTCGGCGTCAAAGAAGAAGAAATCTATGAGTGAAAAAATGAAGACAAAGGTTCAGGAACTACTCACTGAAGCGGATGTACTGCTCATTCCTGTAAATTTTGGGAACATGCATTGGTGTGCAATGATCGTGGATGGCAAGCAGAACAATGTCCTGTACTACGACTCAATGAACCTGAAGACGTACAAGGACGTACTGGACCGCATGTCGTGGGATCTGGCTACTACGCTCAGCGACGACTTCAAAGTTGTGTCCGTCAATGGACCGATCCAGACAGACGGATACAACTGCGGATTCTACGTAATGTTGAGGTTTTGGCGCTATGTAGACAAGAGTGTGTCGCTGGACGTAACTCCGATTGGTCTAACGCTGTTACGCTTCCGCATCCTTCACTTCGTGCTTCACGGTAGCAAGCCATAATGCAACTAATACAATCTCATTTCTATTGAAACTGGAATCGACCCGCCTAATGTTCATGCGTATGGTTGACCTCCTGACTTCTGTATACCGGTATGTACGAGAGATGTCAGAGGACTTTCGTTTGCGAAGGTCTAACAACTTCCATTCACTATGGATTTTAAAAACAGTGGTAAGTAATTTATTTCGACACATGGACATTACATGGAGTACTACATGGAAAATAAACTGAGTCGACGCATGGACTGTAGCATCGGCCTTTTTATATAATCTCCTGTTTGGACCTCCAAATTGGAGGTTATGCGTAAGTTTAGAAATCACAGATCGCCTTTATTGGACTCGGTTTTGTGCAATGGGACAGTACAGATCATCCTTCCAAATGATCCCTCTCATCGCTGATATCCTTCTATTTATGATGCGGACCGGGTCCATCGACTCGGTTACCACGGACGGTCTTATTGGTACTGTCGTGGATGTTACTAGTGTTGTCAAATAAGATTAAATCTGTACTATTCTTGTCAAATTCCCCTAATTAAACAGTTTGGGAAAAACGTCGAAAATGTTATCTCTAGCTCTGAAAATCCATTTTGTTTTCCTCAAAAGACAAAATTGGTTTTGTTTGGTTACGATTACTGTCTGTTTTCTGTTTCATAGGTAGCTTGCACTATGATGCTCTTGGAATGTGCTACCTTGTTGTCACGATTGAATCCGGATTTAGTTTAAAACTTATAAAAGTAATACTACATGTAGTAGTATCAGAGCAAAAACCCGAAAACCTTTTATTGGCAGCTTAGAGATTTTGATCTAGAAGTTTGAATGAATTCAGTTGGCTGTATCGAAATGTAGGGCTTAGAGAAGGAGAATTTGTTGGAGAGGTGCTTTTATTTTGGCGTGTACGGTACTAGGATAGATTCTAGTACGTCGATCCGAAATCACCCGAACGGATGTTCATGAATTTGACCGACTCTCAGCGAACACACTCTACGGGTCACCACCAGGGTTCGGACAATCGCCACGCAATGCACCAGGATCTTTCGGGTCCTCACCGGTTTTGAAGCTGTCCAACCACGTCATGTTGGAGCCGTAGTCTACCCAGATGCTCATGACCAGCGTCATACCACCAACAATTTGCTTGCTGAGCTGTGCAAGGCCTCCCATTACGTACGGGTGGTCATTGAAAAGCGCCTTCGAGGAGTTACACATCGCATCCGTGATTGAGTCGGTGCCGTTGAGTGTGGCCCACGTACTTGCCGGATTAACCACCACGCGGTCGTCTTATTTATACAGTCGGCGAATCTCAACAAGCTCACCAGTCTCGGTGTCGTCGTCCGTAATGAACTGCGTAATGACTGAGAACGGACGAGTCGTGTCGATGTCGTAGCTTTTGCCACGGCCGTAGAACTTCTTAAGGCCCATCCGGTATGGATTAAAGCTGCAACCAGGTTTATCACACCAACCAGAGTAGCGAGTCTCTTTCGTAGCCCCACAGTCTTCGTCAGCGATGCATCTCTCTTGGCCGTCAGTTGAGCATGGGTGTGTCGTATAAGCTGTCGCCATGCTATTAGCCTCCCAGATGTCCATTTCCGTACAACAAGCGCCGTACTTGTGCTCCAAGTTAGCTTCACCATTGATAAACTTGACTTCTTTCGTGCACTGGGCATCACAGTATCCGGTGCCGTATTCAGCTCCTGCATTGTTGGTCAGGAAACGTGCAATGCCACCGTCGGCATCCATCTTCGAGAAGTAAAGCGCACCGTTAGAACCGCAGGGCAGCGTAGACATATCCACGTCGAACGTGAGCTCTTGGTTGAGTAGATCGAACTGTTTGTACCTCTTTCCCGACGCATCCAGCATGTACACACGGGTACCGACACCACCAGGAGTTTCGAGCTTCAACTCCAAAGCGCTGTCAAAAGTCGTGATTGCGTGCAAACCCTCGTAGTCGGCACCTTCAAGACTGCAGATTTCGCCGCATTTTTTTCGGAGTCGAGCACGTCGTGCTGTTCCACTTGCCATCAGCGTAGCAGGTGTTGTTCGTTCCAACAGCGTTCATCCGCCTTCAATTGGCATCGATCACTACCGATGATTGCTCAGTCTTGCACTCGGTGAGCTTGGCCTCCGCTTTGCCAGCGTTAGGCAAAACTTGATCAACTGGAACTTGGGCCGATGTGTCGGTAACTTTCGTGCAAGTTTGAGATGGCAGTGAAGGGTGTACTTCGGGGATTTTTCTTGCCAGGCTGCTGAGCCAGCGCAGTCGCAGCTAGCAGGACAATCGCTAGCTTGATGGGGGTCATGGAAATGTGAGGACTGTAGCGAAGAACCGAGCAAGAAGGTACCGGTTTTTTGGAAAGTTGGAAAGTGAGAGGATGTTTGAGTTTGTCGGGTGCTCTTGCGGTCGCTCAAAACGTGTAGGTGGGCCCCTACCTACACGTTTTTAACCGACTGCAGGAAGACCATCCTCTAATCACGAGGAATTAGTCATCTCGTCCGGTTGTCAACTTGCAAAACTACCATTTATATCCATCCTCCCATATCATAACGACTCCGACCAGCCGAGCACCTGACTCCGATCCGACGTATCGCAAAACTTTATATATCGTACTTAATACCTAAATTTGGAGGTTTCGTAAAAGCGCGCTAATTGGTTCATTGAGCGTAATTACTCCTCGTAAGCGAGTGGCGCCAATGCAATATTGACTGCGCCATTTTGCCCAGCAAGCTCAGTGCTCGATTGACCACCTGGAACGGTGAATTGAGGGGGGCGTACCGCGCATCGGTACACCTAAGAGGGTATGTCGCGGCCACAAAGAACAGTGGATCACCGTTAATTCCCCGTCGAGCACCCAGATGAGTATCCCTGTGCTGTTGTTGTCTAACCCCCACCGATGTAGCTCAATGGTAGAGCTCCCGAAAGGGAAGGAGGTGGTACAAATCCACCCATTGGTAAAAAAATTATGCCCGAATGCCTTGCAAGTCTCTACATGATTGACATGATATAAGAACCAGCTACAAGGACACAGAGAGATTGGATTGTGTTACGGGAGCAGCTTGAGCATGCTTTGGTGCTGTGTTGGTGTAGGGTCTACAACTCTGCCGATGGTAAAACGCTGATGGTAGGCACTGATGAGCCTATTCAGCTTGCTTTCGCGGTGAATCTGCCGAAGAACCTTAAGCACAGCGTTGGATCCCTTTGACGGTACGCCCTGCTCGCCTAGGAACACTGTGACTTTGTTTGACGCTAACTCTCCGAGCTGACGTACTGTATCTTTGTAGCTGGATGATAACTCGTCGAGCGCGTACCCGTCTTCGATGAAGAGCCTCATGAAGGCCACGAGCTGCTTGGAATCCGATTTCTTGTGCTTATTAGCACTCTGCCATCCACGCGGAACAGCCGTGTATCACGCAAACCACGTGTCAACAAGCGGTATTGTCTTGGATCGACGGCGACGCATTACTGGTACGATTTTATCTTCCTCTCTTACTCGCTTGGCTTGATTATCTCGTGCTAAAGTTTCCCCTTCGGTGTTCTTCATTGCAGCTTCTAGCGAGTTAACTCGAGCTTCAAGGCTACGGTTGACCTCAATTAACCTTTCAATCAAGGCAGTTTGATAATTCAACGCAGCGTTGGCCTTTACATTTTCTTCAGTCATGGCTTCGGCGGTGGTGTTGGCGTGTTCATTTGACGCTGTGAGCCGTTGTGACCATGCAAGCAGGTTGGTCGTCGTCACTCCAGAGGCTTCCGCACATAGGTGAGTTGTCTTCATTGCAGGTGTCTTCGCGTTGATCTTCACTAACGACGGGTAGTGGAGGAGGAGGGTTGCTGTTAGCACATCTCTCACAACAGCGCAGACGTTAAAGGCCTTGTTACCCAGATCATGACTCGAGTTGAAAAGCTTCCGGCTAGCCTCTCTAACCTTTTCTAGTGTTGCAGCGTCGAAGGATTCCAGGGACGGGAGAGAAGAGGCTTGCTTTGGCGTCATCCCACTCAGCACCTTAGCAACTTGATGATCTTCTTTAGGGGTGTTCGCAAAGGCTTTGTTAGTCGTAGTCAAGTTCCAAGCTCCGCGATCAAAGATCCATTGAGCTGCCAGCTCTGAGTTTGCGTTCGCGTGTTGCGCGCCGCCACGGCGAAACGAATGTGACGTCAGCGACACTTCGACTCCAGCAGGACCTGCAACGCGATGGAGCACGCGGTTGACAAGAGCGTGGATTCCAACTGTTGGTGTCGCGTGAACAGTGGTGCTACCTGGCGACGTCTGAGAATAATTCAGGGCACTATTGTCGTCAAGAAGTTCCAGTAATGGTATCGAGGCAGCTAGGTCAACAGGAACGTCCTTCGACTTCACCGGCAAATGGTTTAGCAACGCTGCACACGGAGACTCCTGCGTAATCAAGGCCAGCGCGAGCGCTAGCAGCGGACAAGTCATGAAGTCAGCGTCAGGAAAAAGTGACAGTGACTGCTCATCGGACGTCTTCACGCGGATAAATCGGATAAAGAAAACCCCTCCAGCTCCGACGGAGAGCTGCTGCTTCCGGACGAACGTAATGTCGGATGCACGGCCGAAGAGGTACCACAGGAGGCACAACAACGCAGCATCTTGGTAGTCCGACGCACAGCGAGCCGTTGAATATAAGTAGCGTATCATCTTCTTGAGATCCTCTTTTGTGCACGCAATAGCCTTCTTGACGAACCCACCACTTTCACGCTTGATGCAGTGCTGTTCAAGGGTACGCCCCATGCTGTGCAGCTATCGTGCTACAGCGCCACCTTGAACAGGATACTCATCCAAAAGCCAGCATTTCACCTGGCGGAAGTATTGAGCGACGGAGTGGCGCGACAGAGGCTGCCCCTTTGCTCCTGCGTGGAATGCCAGGTACACACCAAACTTGTCCATTAGAGTCACTAGTATACTACTCGCGCGACTAGAGTCTGCGACGATCAAAGCCACGACGTGCTCCATGGTAGTATTCTTTAAAGACAGGATGCGCTCAAACGCTTTTAAAGCCGTCGCACGCGCGCGCTTTGTGTTGGCGGGCTTCAAGTCGTTCAGGCTCATTGTTCTTGGTCGGAGAGGTAGAAATATGCAGGTGATACGTGGCAAACCTTTAGCAAGTATTACTATACACATATCTCCGACTAGATACGTCGGAATCGCTCAGCTTCCGACTGCACCCTAAACTATAGTTTTAATTGGATATAATTGTATTCTTGAAGCAATTTGATTCGCCCAATGCAACGGAGATCGCTTTAATTGGCTATAAAGAATAAGAAACGATTATCATTGGCTAGTGCGCAACATACTAAAAGTAAGATACGTCGGAGAGATAATGTTATTCATCCATACCAAAAATTATCGGACCGGATGATATAGTCGGACCTATGTGTTTACACAGTTTATCTCAGATAGGTACGAGGTTTAGGGGAGGGCATGCCTGATGTGAAATGACGCAAAAGGCCAAAGAGTGGTCAAACAGACTGTTTTATAGACGGCAGGAAATGGCCTGAAACGCCCTCTGGGCTGAGAAAAGCACTTTTTTGTTTTTCTATGCATTTTTGGCATGAGAGTCACGTGCGCATGAGCTAGCAAATTTTACAATGAGGCAGAATCGCCACGATCGTCCGGATAATTTTGCATCTGTCCGGTAAATTAAGATTGACGACAGCCAGTTATCGGAGCTACTACTGCTTATTGGTTAATTATCCAGTAAAAACGTGCCACTTGTAATTGCGCTAGACTACACGTATCGAATGGTTTGCAGCCTCTCACTTTCAGTCAATCCGTCGCCGACAGCCCACGTTGGCGGTCAGTCTTACTTTTTTCATCGCAACTACGCTGATCTCCCGTACGGGCTTCACGGGCTTCCAAGCCTCCAGGTCGCCTCTGACCCCCCTACTTCCAACGATGTAGCTCAACTGGGAGAGCGCAAGGTTTCGGCCTTGAGGATGCCTGTTCAAATCGGGCCATCGTTATTGCTTATGCTTGGGTTAGAGGCCTTGTAGCGAAGATCAAGTTTCGTGAGCAGCAGAGATCAGCAAGAAAGGTGATTGCATACGTGTGTTGAGGTCGACATAGCTTGATGCTGTGAGGAAGGGTGAATGTATTCGCATATAAGTGTTTGTTCTACTTACTAACCTCCTCAAGAACGTCCTGCGTGTAGCCAGGAGACGGGTCTTGGATTACAGCTGTCTGGAGCAGTTGACGGTGGCGCTGGATCTTGGCATTTAGCGCGCCGGCGCAGTGGACCCGCTGGAGGTGCTTGAGGACCGCGCTCGATCCGCGAGAGTTGATGCTGTGTTTGCCTTTCAAGTACGTGAGTACGCCATTCTCGGCGCGCTTCCCCAGTTCCAGAACTCGGTCGCGGTAGTCCGCAGAGGTTTGGCTGAGAACGAAGCCGTCGTCGAGGAACAGCTTCATGTACGCGACTAGCAGCTTGGCCTTCGAGCGCTGCTGCTTCGGTGCTTCGACGTACCAGCGTGGCTCTTGCGCGTACCAGGTAAACCAAGTCGCATGAAGGTAGGTTGCTGATCCTCTACGCTGTTTTTGCTTGGGTTTGCTCACATCTGTGGCGTCTTCATCTTGAATGCTTCTTTTTCGCGTTTCAGCTACAGAATCACCGTTAAGCTTTGCCTCAAGCAGATCCATGCGGGCGTCTTGGCGCTTGGAATTTTCGATAAGGTGTTTAATGACAGAGGCCTGGTGCTCGATGATCTTCTTTTCTTTGCTTGGTTCCATTGGCATGGATGGTGAGGTGGATGCTTCTATGTTGTCTTTACAGGAATGATGGGCTCCTGCAAGATGCGTCGACCAAGCTAAGAGGTCCGGAAGCGTACGTCCAGCCTGCGTAACACAGGTTTCGAGTCGTTGCACCGCTGGACTGTCGGGATTCAAGCCCTTTACGACGGGATAGTGCCTAACGACGCAAGCGGTTAGGACATCCAGAACCTTCCGGTTGATGTTGAAGCTTTCCATCTCAAGTTGGTAGCAAGCTGCGAACAAGACTCGTTGGAGCTCGGCAATTGCGTCAAGCGTGTCGGCGTCAAAGCTGGACAGGTCTTGGAGAGGGACAACGTCTTCTGGTTTGTATCCACTCAATACCTTGGCAATCATGTGGTCTTCTCTACTTGTGTTGAAGATGTAGTTGAATCTTTTGTTTGTGGTGCTTAGGTTCCAAGATCCGCGATCAAAGATCCAGCGCGCGGTCATCTTCTCGCAGCCGTTGGCATGTTGGGCCCCACCACGACGGAATGAGTGCGACGTGAGAGCAGCTGACACACCGGCGGCAGGGGCGTTGCGATCAAGCACACGGTTGACATGTGCGTAGATTGTTGGGGCCGCAGCAGTACGAGGAGGAGGAGGAGCAGGCGTAGCAAGACCAGAGATCGCCGGTGGTGCGTTCAGGAGCTCCACGAGCGGCACTTCAGGTGATAGTGTGGTCGGCGTTTGCTGCACTTGGTCGGGAAGGTTCCTGATGAGAGCTGGGCACGGTGCTGCTTGGACGGAGAGGGCGAGAGCAACAGCGAGCAAGGGGCACGTTGCGAAGTCGGCGTCGGGGAAGAGAGACAAACCTTGTTCTTCCGACGTCTTCACACGGACCAAGCGAAGGAAGAAGACACTGGCGGCATCTATAGAGATGTTCCGCTTCTTGATCATCGACAGGTCCGAAGCTCGCCCGAACAGGTACCAGAGCAGACACAGAAGAGCAGCATCTTGGTAGTCACTCTCAGAACATGCACTGACATACAAATACACAACCATTTTTTTCAAGTCAGCCT